GGTTCCGCTCCTGGGCGTAAGACGCTGGGGCAAGGGGTGAGACGTTTCAGGAGGAGTGCGGAAGGGTCTGGTGGAATGGGAGAACCCCACAGGATTGGGAGGAGTGCGGAGGGTTGAGGGGAAATGGGACGGTTGTGGGAGGTGAGGAAGGAGTGCGGAGGCGTGGGGAGGACTGGGAGGGTTGCGGAGGTTTCGGGGGGAGTGCGGATGGGTGGGGAGGAATGGGAATGGGGCGGTTGCAGAAGAATTGGGAGGAGTGCGGAGGGATGTGGAAGGATGAAAGGGTTGCGAAGGTGTCGGGAGGAGTCGGAAGGGCGTGGAGGAATTGGAGGGTTCGGAGGTCTCTTCGGTAGTGTGCGAGAGTGGGGAAATGGGAACGGTTTCACAAGGTTTGGGCGGGTGCGAGGATGTGAGGGCCATGGAGGTTGCGGAACTTTCGTGGAGGAGTGCGAGGGGGTGGAGGAAATGGGGAGTGGAACGAATATGTGCGGATTCCCCGGAGGATGCGGGAGTGGGAGACATGAAGGATCCGGAGGTTTCGGGGGAGTGCGGACGGATGTGGAAATGGGACGTTGTGAGTTTCGGGAGGAGTGCGGAGGGGCCTGGGAAATGGTGAGTCGGTGTCTGGGAGGAGTGCAAGAGGGATGGAGGAAATGATAAAATGGTTGCGGAGGTTCCGGAGAGAGTGCGGAGGGATGTAGGGGAATGGGGAGGTTGCGGAGGTTTTGGGAAGAGTGCGAGGAGGTGGAAGAGATGGAGAATGCGGATGTTTCGGAAAGTGCGGAGGGGGGGTTTGGAGAGACTGGCAGGATTGCGGAGGTTTCGGGAAGAGTTTGGAGGGGTGTGGAGGACTGGGACGGTTGCGGAAGGTTTGGGAGGAGTGCGCAGGGTGGGGGGGAATGGGACGGATCGCGGATGTTCGGGAGGAGTGCGGAGGGGCGGACCGAATTCGAAGGGCTCCGGAGGTTTCGGGAGGAGTGCGGAGGGATGTGGGGGAATGGGAGACTTGCGGAGGTTTGGGGAAGAATGCGGCGGGGTGTGGAGGAATGGGGAGAGTTGCGATGTTCGGGAAAAGTGCGGAGGGTGAGAAAAATGGCAGGATTGCGAGTTTCTGGGAAGATTGTGGAGGGTCTGGGGAATGGGTCGGTTGCGGAAGGTTCGGGAGGAGTGCGGAGGGGTGGGGGGGAGTGGGGCGGTTGCGGAGGTTTCGGGTGGAGTGCGGAAGGGCGCGGAGCAGTTGGGAATAGTGCGGAGGGGCGTGGAGGAATGAGAGGTTTCGGAATTTGTGTTCGGAGCGATGGTGCGACCCCTGCAGGGAAGGGGCGAGGACTGGAAGGAGTGGGGCCTGCGGAGGAGTTGGGAGTGAATGGAATTTAACGGAATGCAGCGGGGGGCCTCTGTCGTAGACCTCGCCCGAGAGGGCCTCCAGGGGGGCCTTACGAAGATCCACGGGGGCTCCAAGACGACCCCCAAAGAGGCTCCACGCGGACTGACGGACGGGCCCAGAGGCGACAGCACTGGCATCGTCGACGGTGATGGTCGGAGTCGTGCCGGGCCAGAAGCACGACGTGCCCTTGGCGGTCGTGCAACGCTCTAGGGGTCTGCCGAAATTGTCGGGGCGCGGCGTGCGGAGTCAACCATCGGGGCCTTCCGTGGAGTTCCCGATGGGGCAACGAGGTGTGCAACGACGATAATGGCGACAGTGATGATGGCGATGATGGTGATGATGTCTGCGCGCAGCGACCCCAATCGCACGCGGCAGGACTACTTGGGCTTGAACTTAAGAGCCTCGCTAGTGTCGAGGGTCGAGAAACAGCGCGGGCACGGCACTAGCTTCGGGGCCGGCGGCTTGGGAATCGGCACAGTGAATAAATACAGTATCAGCCGCCGGAGCAGCATGCAAGCCTGCCCCTGCGGGCGCTGCGACGACTCGGACGAGAGGCCCGCCAGCGCCGTCTCGGGGCAGGTGACAAAATTCGGGGCGGACCCCATGTACACCTTGTGCCCGACGTGCTGGTTCTGGGGCATGGTGATGGGCACGGGCTTGCCCTCCAGCCACAGGAGCTGGATGGACAGGGGGAGGTCCTCATCGATGAACAGCCACTCGTCCAGCACCGCGGCCTTGGCCTTGTCCAAGCCGTGGAGGCAAAACTGCCCCCCGCCTGGCCTCTCCTGCACGTGCTCACCGCCGAACAGCGGCCGAAACGCCGAGAAGAGAAGAGACTTCCCCTCTCCGCCGAAGCGCCCAGCCAAGGTGACCACCGGGGCCGCCTCGGACCGACCGTGCTTCAGGGACATCAAGATGCTGCTGCACAGGTCGGGGACGTCGATGCGATTCATCGACAGGCTTTCGCGGACGTGGTGCAACCAGCGGCCGCCGCCAACGCAAGGCGTCCGCAAGGCCTCCTTGAACTGTTGCATGACGGGTTTCGTCGCGTCTTCGAGGAAGCTGTCCACGTTCTCCCACGCCCAGGCCTTGTCGATGATCTTCTCCAGCACGTGCTCGTTCTTGAACATCCAGGCAACCACCTTGTGCGAGCAGGACGTCTTAGCGTACGCCATCAACTTGCGCACTGCGTGGGGGTCGTCCGGAGTATTCCGGATCCCAGACCTGACCACTATCGGCCACAGGTCCACTTCCTCGACGCGAGGCTCTGGCTTCCCCTTCTCGCCCTCGACCTGCTCCCGCGCGGTCCTGCGCTTCTCCAAGGCGCGGGCGGTCGTCGGCTCCCTCTTCGCCGCGGACAGCGGCGGGTGGTCCGCGGGCCAAGCCAAGTAGTCAACGTCCAGGGCGCTCCGCGGCTTATTGGGCGTCGCGTTCGCGCAGTACCCGACGGCCGACCAGTGCCCGTCGTGGCTGCAGGACCAGTGAGAGGCGAGTTGGTACCTGTTGAGCAAGGCCCGCTTCACGGTCAGGAACTTGCTCTTCTTGCCCAGGTGCAAGGCCACGTGGTAGTGCGCCCGCCGAACGCCTGCCACTGGCGCGTGGTATTCTTTGAATACCACCAGCTTCTTGACCCCGACGGGCGCGGCCCCCTGCCCGCGGTGGCTTGCGAGCCACGCGGGGTCGGCGTACGGAGCGCCGCAGCAATCCAGGAAAGCGTCGCGGACCTCCTCCCGCGAGAAAGCCGCTGGCGCTCTGAGACCCTCCTTGTCCGTGTGCGGCAGAGTCCACCAAGAGACCTCCGCGAGGGTTCCTGTTCTCACGCGACCAAGACGTGCTCGAGGGCGCCCGTCTGCGGGACTTGCTTCCCACACAAGAGCACTGCGGCCGCTCTTGGCCTTGTCCCCCGAGAGGCCCTAGACCGCGCCGACCGGCCAGGCCGAGCCCCCGCCCGCTGCATCCGACAGCTACAGAGAAAAACAGCTATGCGGACCGTCGGGCGTCTCGGCGGCGCATCGATAAACAGCCGCCTGCTGCTCAGTGGGGAGCTCGTTGCAACCTGGCGTAGTCCTGCGCAACCTGTCGCACTTGGGGCGCGCCCCGTCAATGGGGCGCGCGTGGCCCACCTTGTCGGCCGTGCGCCGCACCTGTCGCAACGCGGCGCACTTGGCGCGCCTGGCGCGCCACCTGCAACTCTGGGCGGGGTGCGGATCTGTACATGGATTGCGCTCGCGCGGCATTGTTGGACATGTGCAAACATGCATAAAACTCTTACTTAACCTACAGTGAACCATCAGTGAACCAACAGTGAACCAACAGTGAACCATGGCAAATTACATAGTGAACCTCCATTTTTATATAAAAAAGAAAAATTCCCTACTCTTTTTTAATCGAATTCGAGGTTCACTATGGTTTTTACGAAGGGTCACTGTTGGTTCACTGTTGGTTCACTGTTGGTTCACTGTTGGTTCACTATGTCTTTTGCTGCATGTCTCGTGCGAGGGGCTCTCTGGGGCCGCCAGGGCGCTGGCGCCTGGGGGGCCTCGGCGGACAGAATCATAATGCCAAGATCAGGTACTTTCGACTACGTCTGCTGGTCCTGTAGCCGCAAGGGCGGTGGACGCACGGATTGGACTTGATCGTGGACCGCGACTGGCTCCCTTCCCGCGCCCCACGTCGCTCGCGCGGGTCAACCGAGGCGCGGGCCGCGACGGGCCGCCCGCCGCCCCGGCCCGCTGCGGTTTGCCGCCGCGGTTCGCCCGCCGCCTGGCCGCCGCGAATCGCGACGCGGCCGCCCACGAAACCGCCGCGCGCGCTTCACGTCCAACAGCCCTCGGCGCAAGTGGCCCGTCCCTTCCGCCTCCGACCAACAAGCCGCAGCGCTTGTGCAGGCTGCCCATGATGCTGTGGATGTACTCAGAAGGCGTCGCCAACGCCGTGCGGCGCAGCCGGGCCAGGTACTGCGCCCGCGTCTCCGTCTTGCTCGCGGGCCAGTCCGTCTCCTGCCCCCTCATGCGCTTGTTCAGATTGGCCCAGAAGGCGAAATCAAGCGGCATCAGATCAGGGGACCGCTTCGGCAAGTCCAACGTCTGGATGCCAGCGGACGTCTTCGCCACCATGCCCGAGCGAGATTTGTAGCCCGTGGGGTCGTTGTCTTCCATGACGCGGAACTTGCCGCGCACGGATGGGTAGGCCCTCTTCAAAGCGGGCTGGAGCGCCCCCGAGTACATTCGCCCCGCGGCTGCGGCGTTCCACCTGCCGACCACCTGGTGCCACATCAACACCTTGCCCGCGCCGATGGCGCACGCGATGGTCACGGAGCCCTTGCCCGAACTCTGCTTCGGAACCTGGGGGCGAGCCAAATCAGAGCGCGCCGTCGGTCACTGGCCTGGCGCTGAGTGGCCGCGGCGCGGTCTCCGATTTGCGCCAGCCCGAGAACTTAGGGTTTGCTCCGGCGTGGACGTGGCCCACTGGAGAAGTCTCCGCTTGAGCTTAGGTACACACAGCGAACCTTGCGCTTGCCGCCACCCCCACCTTCCTGTACTTCGCATTGGGCAGCACCTGGGACACCCTGTTGTCCATGCACGCGTGGACGTACTGTGACCACTGGCTGGGGCTCCAGTGCTTGTGCTCGCGGGCCCACTGCAGGCGCTCCTTCTTGTCCCCATCAGAAAGATCTGGCTTCTCGTACAGCGGGCGGAACTGGTAGCCATTCTCAGCAAACGCGCGGCGCACTGTCTTGATGTCGCATTTCAACTTCATCTCGGACTTCAGCATGGCTGCCGTCACTTCCTTTGTGCCGCCCGAGGACTTCAGAAGCTTCTTGTAAGCGTGCTGGGCAGCGAGAAACCCTTTGGGGTGCGGATGGAATGCTTCGGGCGGCCCTTGGACTTATCGGTCGTGTTCTTTTTGAACAAATGCTTCGAGACGGTGTCCGTGGAGCGGCTCAAGGCCGCGGCGATCCTCTTGACGCCCATGCCGCTGTCATGCAAGCGGCGCATTGCGAAGTGCTCGTCGGCAGATACATGCGGAGCCGATTCGAGGACATCTCCGGGAAATTCCTGGGGAGACAACGACGGGCCAAACGCACTGCGCAGAGAAAGTCGTGCGGTTTAATTCTTCAAAGGGGGCATCCTGAAATGGATGACAGTCCAGTTGAGCGAGGGCAATCCTATATCTCGGTGCCCCTTTTTTCCATTAGTAGCGCATAGGTTCGGGGCTTCTGTTCCGTGAAAATGGTCTAGATCTGCGAGACATGCGCGCGCAGGTGAGCAAGGGGGATCCATTTTGATCCCCAGTTGCTGCTGATTCGTCGGGCATCCGCCTCCGGATGTAACAGTGGCTGGAATTGGTTCTGGTCGGCCTGCCTGCCTCGGCTGCCTGTGGCTTGCCTGCTGTGCCCGATGGCTGCTACGTTGGCTTAGACCTTTTGGCTGTCTCGTGTGGCTGCCTCGTTGGTGTCTCGTTGGCTGCTTCGTGGTTGTCTTGCCGGCGGTGCTGTGTCGGTGTGGGCCTCGTTGGTTGCCTTGCTGGCTGCCCTGTCGACCGCCTCGCTGCCTGGCTGGCTGCACGTGGGCTACCTCGTTGGCTGCCTCGTGCCTCGTGGGCTACCTCGTTGGCCGCCTCGCTGGCTGCTTCGCCAGTTGCCTCGACGGCTGTTTTTTTGGCTGCCCCGCGGGCTGCCTCGTAGGAGGCCTCGTTGGCCGCCTCGCTGGGTGCCTCGTAGGCTGCTTCGTTGGCTGCCTTGTTGGCTGCCTCGCCAGCTGCTTTCCTGAAAGCCTACCAGACAACGCCCCCATCAATTTCACGAGCAAGCGCCTATCCATCTGCCATGGCGACGATGAAGGGAGCGCGGTAACCCAGGACCCAAGGACGGCGAACGAATGAACAGCATGTGCAGAGAAAAAATCGCAATCATGTGTATGCGCTGACTATATCACCCTGGGTAGGAATAAACCGACCCGTTCGCAACCTGGGGAACGATGGGGCCACGGAGGCCTCAGGATGGCTCAAGGCAGCCCTCCACAGGACCGTCTCCAGCTTTCGATAATGCACCCGATGTCTGTTGTGGACGGTGGGACGACAGCAACATGTAACCCTGGGCAGGCAAAATCAAACTTCCCGCAGCTCCGGGGATCCATGGGGCCTCCGAGGCCTCCAGGACGGCCCAAGGCAGCCCTTCACAGGACCGTCTCCTTCCATCCCTCTTTCGGCCCCCTCCGATCCCCTCCCCTCCCCGTTCCCTTCCCCTCCCCTCCCCTCCTCCCCATGCCCTCTCTTCCCCTCCCATCGCCTCTTCGTCCCTGCCTCCTCTGATTCACTCCTCCCGCACCTGCTTAGAAATCCTCCACGCTCCACCGCCTGATCCTCCTCCCCACCACCTCCCATCCTCATCCTTCTCATTCCTCCTGTCTCTCACTACTGTTCCTGGTCCTCCGCATCCTCATCCTCATCCCCATCCTCCTCTTCCTCCTCATCCTGATCCTTATCCTCCTCATCCTTCGCTTCCTCCTCCACCTTCTCCCCCAAGTCATGGGATCTTGGATTTATGAGGGTCGCTTTGAGCAGTGTGCAGAACTACACAAACCTTGCCATGGACAGTAGATGGACAATATATTCGAACCCTCACACATTCGAGGGAGATTCTGAATCACCCCCGCGCCCCCGACATCAATGTTGATCTCAGCAAAGGCGGTGCTTTGGGGTTCGAATATTTCTGTCCACTCACGCCCCCCCCGTCGCCACGCCATCAATATTAAATTCGGGGGTTCGGGGGGGCATCTTGGGCCACAGGGTTCGAATATAATGTCCATGTACGGTCCCCCATCTTGTTTTGCAGGTGGGAGTAGGGAGGAGGGAGAGGAGGAGACTGTACAGATGCCACAAACGTCGCATTACAGTCACAATCTCCCTCATCGGCGGCATCATCATCATCATCATCATCATCATCATCATCATCATCACCATCAACAGTATCAGCATCATCAGCAGCAGCATCATCATCACCCCCAACCCTCAAGGAGGAATGAGGAACAGGAGGGAGGAGGGGGGGAGGAGAACGAGGAGAAGGAATAGGAGGAAGATGGAGGTTCCGCTCCTGGGCGTACTGACGTGAAGAACCCACAGGTTAGGAGGTTGGGCGGAGGGGTGCGGAGGGGTAGAAGAGGAATGGGAGAACCCCAGAGGATTGGGAGGAGTGCGGAGGGTTGAGGGGAAATGGGACGGTTGTGGGAGGTGAGGAAGGAGTGCGGAGGCGTGGGGAGGACTGGGAGGGTTGCGGAGGTTTCGGGGGGAGTGCGGATGGGTGGGGAGGAATGGGATGGTGGAGGAAATCTCTTTCGGGAGGAGTGCGGAAGGGGTGGGGAGGAATGGGGCGGTTGCAGAAGGTTTGGGAGGAGTGCGGAGGGATGTGGAAGGATGAAAGGGTTGCGAAGGTGTCGGGAGGAGTGCGGAAGGGCGTGGAGGAATGGGAGGGTTGCGGAGGTCTCTTTCGGGAGGTGTGCGGAGGAGTGGGGAGGAATGGGACGGTTTCACAAGGTTTGGGAGGAGTGCGAGGGGATGTGGAGGCATGGGAGGGTTGCGGAAGTTTCGGGAGGAGTGCGGAGGGGTGTGGAGGAATGGGGGAGGTGCGGATATGTGCGGATGTCCCGGGAGGAGTGCGGGGGAGTGGGGAGACATGGAAGGGATCCGGAGGTTTCGGGGGGAGTGCGGACGGATGTGGAGGAATGGGACGGTTGTGGAGGTTTCGGGAGGAGTGCGGAGGGGCCTGGAGGAATGGGGGAGGTGCGGGTGTTTGGGAGGAGTGCAGAGGGATGTGGAATGCTAAAAGGGTTGCGGAGGTTTCGGGAGGAGTGCGGAGGGATGTGGGGGAATGGGAGGGTTGCGGAGGTTTTGGGAAGAGTGCGGAGGGATGTGGAGAGATGGTAGAGTCGCGGATGTTCGGGAAAAGTGCGGAGGGGTGGAGAGACTGGCAGGATTGCGGAGGTTTCGGGAAGAGTTCGGAGGGGTGTGGAGGACTGGGACGGTTGCGGAAGGTTTGGGAGGAGTGCGCAGGGTGGGGGGGAATGGGACGGATCGCGGATGTTCGGGAGGAGTGCGGAGGGGCGGAACGAATTCGAAGGGCTCCGGAGGTTTCGGGAGGAGTGCGGAGGAATGTGGGGGAATGGGAGACTTGCGGAGGTTTTGGGAAGAATGCGGCGAGGTGTGGAGGAATGGGAGAGTTGCGGATGTTCGGGAAGAGTGCGGAGGGGTGAGAAGAATGGCAGGATTGCGGAGTTTCTGGGAAGATTGTGGAGGGGTCTGGGGGAATGGGTCGGTTGCGGAAGGTTCGGGAGGAGTGCGGAGGGGTGGGGGGGAGTGGGGCGGTTGCGGAGGTTTCGGGTGGAGTGCGGAAGGGCGTGGAGCAGTTGGGAATAGTGCGGAGGGGCGTGGAGGAATGAGAGGTTTCGGAATTTTTGTTGGCGGAGTGCGGTGGGGTGCGGACGACTGCAGGGGAGTGGCGAGGACTGGGAAGGAGTGGGGGGCCTGCGGAGGAGTTGGGAGTGAATGGAATTTAACGGAATGCAGCGGGGGGCCTCTGTCGTAGACCTCGCCCGAGAGGGCCTCCAGGGGGCCTTGCGAAGATCCACGGGGGCTCCAAGACGACCCCCAAAGAGGCTCCACGCGGACTGACGGACGGGCCCAGAGGCGACAGCACTGGCATCGTCGACGGTGATGGTCGGAGTCGTGCCGGGCCAGAAGCACGACGTGCCCGTGGCGGTCGTGCAACGCTCTAGGGGTCTGCCGAAATTGTCGGGGCGCGGCATGCGGAGTCAGCCATCGGGGCCTTCCGTGGAGTTCCCGATGGGGCAACGAGGTGTGGCAACGACGATAATGGCGACAGTGATGATGGCGATGATGGTGATGATGTCTGCGCGCAGCGACCCCAATCGCACGCGGCAGGACTACTTGGGCTTGAACTTAAGAGCCTCGCTTGTGACGAGGGTCGAGAAACAGCGCGGGCACGGCACTAGCTTCGGGGCCGGCGGCTTGGGAATCGGCACAGTGAATAAATACAGTTTCAGCCGCCGGAGCAGCATGCCAGCCTGCCCCTGCGGGCGCTGCGACGACTCGGACGAGAGGCCCGCCAGCGCCGTCTCGGGGCAGGTGACAAAAATCGGGGCGGACCCCATGTACACCTTGTGCCCGACGTGCTGGTTCTGGGGCATGGTGATGGGCACGGGCTTGCCCTCCAGCCACAGGAGCTGGATGGACAGGGGGAGGTCCTCATCGATGAACATCCACTCGTCCAGCACCGCGGCCTTGGCCTTGTCCAAGCCGTGGAGGCAAAACTGCCCCCCGCCTGGCCTCTCCTGCACGTGCTCACCGCCGAACAGCGGCCGAACCGCCGAGAAGAGAAGAGACTTCCCCTCTCCGCCGAAGCGCCCAGCCAAGGTGACCACCGGGGCCGCCTCGGACCGACCGTGCTTCAGGGACATCAAGATGCTGCTGCACAGGTCGGGGACGTCGATGCGATTCATCGACAGGCTTTCGCGGACGTGGTGCAACCAGCGGCCGCCGCAAACGCAAGGCGTCCGCAAGGCCTCCTTGAACTGTTGCATGACGGGTTTCGTCGCGTCTTCGAGGAAGCTGTCCACGTTCTCCCACGCCCAGGCCTTGTCGATGATCTTCTCCAGCACGTGCTCGTTCTTGAACATCCAGGCAACCACCTTGTGCGAGCAGGACGTCTTAGCGTACGCCATCAACTTGCGCACTGCGTGGGGGTCGTCCGGAGTATTCCGGATCCCAGACCTGACCACTATCGGCCACAGGTCCACTTCCTCGACGCGAGGCTCTGGCTTCCCCTTCTCGCCCTCGACCTGCTCCCGCGCGGTCCTGCGCTTCTCCAAGGCGCGGGCGGTCGTCGGCTCCCTCTTCGCCGCGGACAGCGGCGGGTGGTCCGCGGGCCAAGCCAAGTAGTCAACGTACCAGGGCGCTCCGCGGCTTCTTGGGCGTCGCGTTCGCGCAGTACCCGACGGCCGACCAGTGCCCGTCGTGGCTGCAGGACCAGTGAGAGGCGAGTTGGTACCTGTTGAGCAAGGCCCGCTTCACGGTCAGGAACTTGCTCTTCTTGCCCAGGTGCAAGGCCACGTGGTAGTGCGCCCGCCGGACGCCTGCCACTGGCGCGTGGTATTCTTTGAATACCACCAGCTTCTTGACCCCGACGGGCGCGGCCCCCTGCCCGCGGTGGCTTGCGAGCCACGCGGGGTCGGCGTCCGGAGCGCCGCAGCAATCCAGGAAAGCGTCGCGGACCTCCTCCCGCGAGAAAGCCGCTGGCGCTCTGAGACCCTCCTTGTCCGTGTGCGGCAGAGTCACCAAGTAGACCTCCCGCGAGGCGTTCCTGTTCTCCTCGCCGACGACGTGCTCGAGGAGCGCCGTCTGCTGGCTCTGCTTCCCCACGAGCCTGCGGCGCTTCTCTGGCCTGTCCACCGAGAGCGCCATCCCCCCGCGCGACCCGGCCAGGGCCAGCCCCCGCCCCGCTGAGCCGACAGGCTACAAAGAAAAACGCAATGCGGACCGTCGGGGTCTTCGGGGGCATCGTAAACCGCCGCCTGGCTGCTCAGTTGGGGAGCTCGTTGCACCTGGCGTCGTCTGCGCACCTGTCGCACTTGGGCGCTCCCCGTTCACCTGGCGCGTGTGGCCCACCTGTCGCGTGCCGCGCACCTGTCGCACGCGGCGCACTTGGCGCGCCTGGCGCGCCCCCTGCACCTCTGGGCGGGGTCGGCGGATCCTGTCCATGGATGCCGCTCGCGCGGCATTGTTGGACATGTGCAAACATGCATAAAACCATACTGAACCTACAGTGAACCATCAGTGAACCAACAGTGAACCAACAGTGAACCATTGCCAATTACATAGTGAACCTCAATTCTTATTATAAAAAAAAATCCCTCTTTTTTAATAGAATTCGAGGTTCACTATGTTTTTTACGAAGGTTCACTGTTGGTTCACTGTTGGTTCACTGTTGGTTCACTGTTGGTTCACTATGTTGTTTGCTGCGTGTCTCGTGCGAGGGGCTCTCTGGGGCCGCGAGGGCGCTGGCGCCTGGGGGGCCTCGGCGGACAGAATCATAATGCCAAGATCAGGTACTTTCGACTACGTCTGCTGGCCCTGTAGCCGCAAGGGCGGTGGACGCACGGATTGGTCTTGATCGTGGACCGCGACTGGCTCCCTTCCCGCGCCCCACGTCGCTCGCGCGGGTCAACCGAGGCGCGGGCCGCTACGGGCCGCCCGCCGCCCCGGCCCGCTGCGGTCTGCGCCGCGGTCGCCCGCCGCCCTGGCCCGCCGCGAATCGCGCCGCGGCCGCCCGACGAAACCGCGCGCGCGCTCAGTTCCCACCGCCCTCGGCGAAGTGGCCGCCCTTCGCCTCGACCAACAAGCCGCAGCGCTTGTGCAGGCTGCCCATGATGCTGTGGATGTACTCAGAAGGCGTCGCCAACGCCGTGCGGCGCAGCCGGGCCAGGTACTGCGCCCGCGTCTCCGTCTTGCTCGCGGGCCAGTCCTTCTCCTGCCCCCTCATGCGCTTGTTCAGATTGGCCCAGAAGGCGAAATCAAGCGGCATCAGATCAGGGGACCGCTTCGGCAAGTCCAACGTCTGGATGCCAGCGGACTTCTTCGCCGCCATGCCCGAGCGAGATTTGTAGCCCGTGGGGTCGTTGTCTTCCATGACGCGGAACTTGCCGCGCACGGAAGGGTAGGCCCTCTTCAAAGCGGGCTGGAGCGCCCCCGAGTACATTCGCCCCGCGGCTGCGGCGTTCCACCTGCCGACCACCTGGTGCCACATCAACACCTTGCCCGCGCCGATGGCGCACGCGATGGTCACGGAGCCCTTGCCCGAACTCTGCTTCAGAACCTGGGGGCGAGCCAAATCAGAGCGCGCCGTCGGCCACTGGCCTGGCGCTGAGTGGCCGCGGCGCGGTCTCCGATTTGCGCCAGCCCGAGAACCTTAGGGTTGCTCGGCTTGACGTGGCCCACGGAGAAGTCCCGCTTGCGCTTCCTGCACACCCCGCGAACATTGCGCTTTGCCGCCACCTTCCTGTACTTCGCATTTGGCAGCACCTGGAACACCTTGTTGTCCATGCACGCGTGGACGTACTGTGACCACTGGCTGGGGCTCCGGTGCTTGTGCTCGCGGGCCCACTGCAGGCGCTCCTTCTTGTCCCCATCAGAAAGGTCAGGCTTCTCGTACAGCGGGCGGAACTGGTAGCCATTCTCAGCAAACGCGCGGCGCACTGTCTTGATGTCGCATTTCAACTTCATCTCGGACTTCAGCATGGCTGCCGTCACTTCCTTTGTGCCGCCCGAGGACTTCAGAAGCTTCTTGTAAGCGCGCTGGGCAGCGAGAAACCCTTTGGGGGTGCGGATGGAATGCTTCGGGCGGCCCTTGGACTTCTTGGTCGTGTTCTTTTTGAACAAATGCTTCGAGACGGTGTCCGTGGAGCGGCTCAAGGCCGCGGCGATCCTCTTGACGCCCATGCCGCTGTCATGCAAGCGGCGCATTGCGACGTGCTCGTCGGCAGATACATGAGTGAAGGATTTCGGCGACATTCTCCGGCTGTGGAGACAACGACGGGCCAAATGCGCTCGGTCCAGAAAGCGCTGCGGTCATCCTTCCAACGGGGGCATCCTGAAAATGGATGCAGTCCAGTGAGCGAGGGCATCCTATATCTCGGATGCCCTTTATTCCATTAGTAGCGCCATAGGTTCGGGTGGCTTCTGTCCGTGAAAATGGCCTAGATCTGCGCGACATGCGCGCGCAGGTGCGCAAGGGGGATCCATTTTGGGATCCCCCCTCGCTGCTGCTTCGTCGGCTGCCCTGTGGCTGTATCGTTGGCTGCCTGGTTCCTGGTGGCCTGCCTGCTCGGCTGCCTGTTGGCTGCCTTGCTGGCTGCCTCGATGGCTGCCTCGTTGGCTGCTTTGTTGGCTGTCTCGTTGGCTGCCTCGTTGGTTGTCTCGTTGGCTGCCTCGTTGGTTGCCTTGCCGGGTGCTGTGTCGGTGGCCTCGTTGGTTGCCTTGCTGGCTGCCCTGTCGACCGCCTCGCTGCCTGGCTGGCTGCCTCGTGGGCTACCTCGTTGGCTGCCTCGTGCCTCGTGGGCTACCTCGTTGGCCGCCTCGCTGGCTGCTTCGCCAGTTGCCTCGACGGCTGTTTTTTTGGCTGCCCCGCGGGCTGCCTCGTCGGAGGCCTCGTTGGCCGCCTCGCTGGGTGCCTCGTAGGCTGCTTCGTTGGCTGCCTTGTTGGCTGCCTCGCCAGCTGCTTTCCTGAAAGCCTACCAGACAACGCCCCCATCAATATCACGAGCAAGCGCCTATCCATCTGCCATGGCGACGATGAAGGGAGCGTGGTAACCCAGGACCCAAGGACGGCGAACGAAGGAACAGCATGTGCAGAGAAAAAATCGCAATCATGTGTATGCGCTGACTATATCACCCTGGGTAGGAATAAACCGACCCGTTCGCAGCCTGGGGAACGATGGGGCCTCGGAGGCCTCAGGATGGCTCAAGGCAGCCCTCCACAGGACCGTCTCCAGCTTTCGATAATGCACCCGATGTCTGTTGTGGACGGTGGGACGACAGCAACATGTAACCCTGGGCAGGCAAAATCGAACTTCCCGCAGCTCCGGTAATCCATGGGGCCTCCGAGGCCTCCAGGACGGCCCAAGGCAGCCCTTCACAGGACCGTCTCCTTCCATCCCTCTTTCGGCCCCCTCCGATCCCCTCCCCTCCCCGTTCCCTTCCCCTCCCCTCCCCTCCTCCCCATGCCCTCTCTTCCCCTCCCATCTCCTCTTCGCCCCTGCCTCCTCTGATTCACTCCTCCCGCACCTGCTTAGAAATCCTCCACACTCCACCGCTTGATCCTCCTCCCCGCCACCTCCCCTCATCCTTCTCATTCCTCCTGTCTCTCACTACTGTTCCTGGTCCTCCGCATCCTCATCCTCATCCCCATCCTCCTCTTCCTCCTCATCCTGATCCTTATCCTCCTCATCCTTCGCTTCCTCCTCCACCTTCTCCCCCAAGTCATGGGATCTTGGATTTATGAGGGTCGCTTTGAGCAATGTGCAGAACTACACAAACCTTGCCATGGACAGTAGATGGACAATATATTCGAACCCTCACACATTCGAGGGAGATTCTGAATCACCCCCGCGCCCCCGACATCAATGTTGATCTCAGCAAAGGCGGTGCTTTGGGGTTCGAATATTTCTGTCCACTCACGCCCCCCCCGTCGCCACGCCATCAATATTAAATTCGGGGGTTCGGGGGGGCATCTTGGGCCACAGGGTTCGAATATAATGTCCATGTACGGTCCCGAGGCGTGGGGAGGGCTCCGGCGGCCATCCCCCCCAAGGGGGGGGGAGGAACGCAGGGGCGGCGGGCCCTCCCAGAGGCCTCGGGAGGCCTCCGGCCCTCTCCGAGAGGTGCTCGAAGAGCCTTCTCCGAAAGCATGTGCTGTTTCTCCGAAGGACGTGCTGTTTCTCCGAAGGCATGCTTTCCCCGGGGGCCCCCGGAGGCCGAAGAAGCTGCCCAACACTGGGCGCGCCCTGCTTCTCGGAGCGCACTTCCGAGGACAGCACCCCTCTGCAAGCGACGCCAGGCCCGCGCTCTCCAAGCCACCAGGTCCTGGGAGGCGGCGCCACGCGGACGCTGCCCGAGCAACGAGTTCTCCTTGGTTCTTCCTCCCAGAAGCACGCGAAGAGAGTCTGCGAGAGCAAAGCCTATGGTTTCCGACAGTTCGCGGCAATGCCAGCTGAAGCTTGGAGAACTGGAGAACCGCCGCGCGGCACTACTGCCCAGAGTGTTGCATCACTGCCCATGCTTCGACACGCGGCTTGCTTTCATTCCTCGGCGGTGGACAAATCTCCCTTTCGTAAACCACCCTTTAGCGAAAACGGCCTAGGACCGAAACCGACGGACCTGGACCCGCAAAAACGACGGCCGCGACGCCCTCTCGCGAACCGAAAACGGCCAATTCGCTAATCGACGTGTCAGGGTAGGAGGTCTATCAACCTCCGAAGTTCTATGAAAACAAAGACGGCTGATCACAAGACCCGAGCGCTTCTGAGGAGCCCCGCCGCCTTCTAAGGAGGCCTGTCCCCTCTCGCTCCCCTCATGCCCCCAGGCGCGCCGTCGCCTGGGCGGGGGGGGGGTGAAGCACTGCTGGGCGGCGACATCCCAACCCTACCCCTGGGAGGCCTGGAAAGGGGCACCAACACCAACACAGGGGGCTGCCTCCACAGGGGGAAGACGATCCCAGATTTCGGTGTCGGTGGTAATATTTCGGCCACCCTGGAAGCCAGGATATTATTACTTACCACCATCACCGAGATCGGGATCTTCTTCCCTCGGTAGAGGCACACCGCCGATATCAGTCTTGGTGTCAACCTCTAGGCCTGCGATACCCCCACCAGCCATCGATTCTTTTGAATCGAAGGGAGGCGGGGGTACAGTCAACCCGCATCATAAGGATGCGCGGTGAGGATGCAAGGGACTTGGAGGCCCAGGTCAGCGTTTTTCGAATGAGGCTGGTCAGCGAACGCCGCGAAGGACGGGCCGAAGGGGCAAGGATGCAGAGGTACCCTTGGGAAGGTTGCCCGTCCTTCGTACGCGGGTTGACTGTCGGTTTCGGATTTCGGGGGCGCGCAAACATGGATTAGCGATCCATGGGTTTTGCCGCCTCGCTCGGCAGCGGAAGTCCGCGATTTCCCCTCGAAACGGGACCCGTCGCTAATCCACGCGCCCTTGATCCATGTCTGCGATCGCCTGAGATTCCGCCGCCGAACTGCATCGCGCGCACGCCTGCTTTCCCCCTGCCCGAGCTGCGGCGGCGGCGCGACGCCGGCTGCGGCGACGCGCCCACTCTGTCGCGAAGCGGCAGGCGCCCGAGAGGGGTGCCGCCGCGCACGTTTCTGCGCGGCGGGGGAGAGAGGAGCACCGCCGGCCAGAGCCTGGTCGGACGAGAGGGGGGGGGGCAGCGGAAGGGGGGAGGGGGGGGTCTCAAGTCGGGCATGTCCCTCTACAGGAGGAGTGCTCCAGAACAGAATCGAACAGCAGCCCGGCGTCGATTTCTCGTGCTCGTTGGACTGTGGGAGAGCAGCGGCGGAGAAGGGGGGGCGGGCTGTAGAGGCCTCCTAGGTGGGGTCGGAGTAGACGGGGTCGGGGGATCGCGCCGCATCGCCGATGCACCAGCGACGCATCGTCGACGTGGGCGATGCATCGACGACGCCGACGTGAAGCAGCTCGGGCTCCACATCGAGCCGCGTCGGCGATGCATCGGCGAGGCGGCGCTATCCTCCGACCCCATCTGCTCCGATCCCCACCTGGGAGGCCTAGAGTCCGGGGGCCAGCGGATCAACTCCCGCAGCTGGCTGCTCCTGCGCCTCCCAGCGCCGAAGGCGCCGGTGCCACTCGTCGAGGAATGCGCCCGGCGGCGGGGCCGAAGCCGGCTGCACGCAGCAGGTTTCGGAGCCCGCTCCTTCCCGATCCCCTGCCTGTTCGTCCGACCCGAGAGCCAGCGGCGAGCGAGGGGGGAAGCGAGAGGGAGGAGGCCTTCTCTGACGCTTCGGAAGTCCCCCGGCCTTCTGAGAAGTGCTCTCGAAGCCCTCCCCGAAGACAGGAACAGAAAGCTTCTCGGAAGGCGCGAGGGCCTCTCGAAGAGCTCCCGCCGCCTTCTGAGGAGGGCTTCTCTGAAGGGGCCTTGGGACACACAAATAGATACACACAAATAAGAGGATTCCCTATATTTTCCCATATGTTCTGGGTTTTTGTCTCCCCCCCCACTTCCAATATTTTCCCATATCTTCTGGGGAATCGCCGATGAATTGTGTCTGTGTGTTTTTGTTCCTCCCGATTCTCCTTCTCGTTTCCCCCCCTCGCTCGCCGCCGACAGAGCAGCGGGCCCCACAGGTCCGAGGGCCGGCTGGCGGCGGCGGCCGAGGCGGGCCAGAGCCGCAGGGGAGAGGCCCGGGAGAGCCCGCGTGCAGCGGTCAGCGCGGGGGTGGAGGCCCTGCCTTTCGGTCGGGCATGTCCTCCTACAGGCGGACTTGGGGCGAGAGATGAAGAAGAGCCCCAGAGATTCAAACACGACCCACAGAATGCAATCAGAAGATCGTCCCCAGACGATGCTGACCATTTTTGAGTCTTCCTCCTGTAGAGCGACAGGCCCGACTCGAGGTCAGCGGGGGGGACGCCAGGGAGGCCCTGCATCCACGGTCAGGCAACGGGCAGCGCCGTCCGCACACCCAGGCCGAGACCTGCACTCTTGAGGTACATGAGCGCGCAGGCTGAGCTCAGGCCCCTCAGCAGCAGGTCCTCGTCGGAGGAGGAGAGCTCGGAGTGCGACTCGGCCCCCTTCGCGGGGAGCGCGCCCAGCGCTCCCCCGGCGGCCCCGGCGTCCTCTGGCGGCTCGGGCTTGTACTCGGGCCAGTCGAGGCTCCCCCGGAAGTACTCGTAGGGCAGGTGCATCCACTTCTTCTCGTCGAACGCGGGCCTGAGCAGCAGCTGCACCTCTGGAGGAAGCCCTGCCGTAAACATAGGCTGTCGAAACTCGGGAGCCCAGCGCCGATCCAAGAAAAACCCGCGCGGAGCTCCGAACGTTTCTGTTTGTGCCGTTTGCTCTGGCTCGAGCCTCGGCGATGAGCGGCCCCGCCGGCGTCTCGATGGACACCCACATCTTGAGGTCGCGGTACCCGCCCGCGCTGTGCGCGTCCCTGTGAAACAGGTTCTTCACCCGCAGCACCCGCGTTCTGCAGCGCCCGTCCCCCCAGGCCTCCAGCGGGGCGTCCTGCCAAAGGACAAAGGCAACTCTCGTCAGGTGCTTTCAGAAGCGCGCCCCTGGCCCCGAGGTGTGCCCGGGGATTCCAGGGAAGCCCCGAGCACCCCTCGCGAGGAGAGTGGTTTTTGTGCTACTGCTTCCACTTTGGACGCCCGAAATGGGCACGGAAAACACGGGTACAATGCCCAACAACTAATGTTGTCCCAAACCAACAGCGGCCGCTGTTGGGCTGGCGGCCTTCTGTCTCAAATGGACACAGGCCGCGGCGGCGCGGACAGCGAGTCCTGTTCAAAATGAACAGGAACTGCTGTTGGGCATTGTACCCATTCTTTCAGTACCCATTTCGTTCGTGCAGATCCACGTAAAGGTCGGCACCCGGGGGGACAGGGGAGGGGCTCCGGCTCGAAATGAAGATCACACTGAAGCAAAATGGGGCACCGGCGCAAGAAGCCTGCGAACACAGGCCGGGCGCCTGCGAACACCAGCAGCCGCCCCCCCCCCCCCCAGATCGCGGGCGGGGGGCAGTCTGGCCCGGGTATGACGACAGCTATGCTTAGGTCGGGCAGGTCCTCCTAAAGGCGGATTCGGGGAGAAAATGAAAAACAGCCAAAACATCCAACAACAACAACAAAAAACATCAAAAAGTCGTACCCCAGTCTATGTTTTGACTGTTTGGGAATATTCCTCCTGTAGAAGGACAGGCTCGACCTTAAAAGCTACGCGCCAGGGGTCAAGGAGTCAAAAAAAATGCGCGAAACGTTGGGGATGCACGTTGGGCCAGGGACACCCTCAGCAACCCCGATGTCGGGGGGAGGAGGAGGAGGAGGAGGAGGAGGAGGAGGAGGAGGAGGAGGAGGAGGAGGAGGAGGAGAAGAAAGAACTGGAGGGGGAGGAGAATAAGGAGGAGGACAAGACGAGGAGGAAGAGGAGGGTGAGAGGAGGAGGAGGAGTAGGAGAAAGAGAAAGAGAAGGAGGAGAAGGCGGCGGAGGAGGACGGAGGGAGGACGAGGAAGAAGGGGAGGAGGAGGAGAAGACAAGGGAGAGGAGGGGGAAAAGGAGCGCAGGAGAAGGAGGAGGAGGAGAAGGAGGAGGAGCGAGGAGGGGAACAGGAGGAGACGGAGGAGGAGGAGGGGAAAAGGAGGAGAGAGAAGGAAAAGGAGAAGGGGGGAGGAGGAGGAGAAGGAGGAGGAGGAGGAGGAGGAGGAAGAACGAGGAGAACGAGGAGGAGGAGGAGGAGGAGGAGGAGGAGGAGGAGGAGGAGGAAGGAGGAGGAGAGGGAGGAGGAGGAGGAGGAGGAGTAGGAGGAAGGAGGAGGAGGAGGAGGAGGAGAAGGAGGAGGAGGAGGAGGAGGAGGAGGCGGATGAAGGAGGAGGAGGAGGAGGAGAAGAGGAGGAGGAGAAGGAGGAGAAGGTGAGAGGAGGAGAGGAGGGAGGAGGAGAAAGGAACAGGAGGAGGAGGAGGAGGAGGAAAAGGAGGAGGAGGATGGGAGGAGGAAAAGGAGGAGGGAAAGGAAGGGGGAAGGGGGGAAAGGGGGGACAGAGGAGGAGGAGGAGGACAGAGGAGGAGGAGGAGAAAGGAGAAGGAGGAGGAGGAAAGGAGGAGAGGGAGGAGAAGCAGGGAGGAGGAGGAGGAGGAGGAGGGAAGGAGGAAAGGGAGGAGGAGGAGGAGGGGGAAAGGGAGCGAGGAAGAGAAGGAAAAGGAGAAGGGGGAGGAGGAGGAGAAGGGAGGAGGAGGAGGAGGAGGAGGAAGAGAGGAGGAGGAGGAGGAGGATGGAGGAGGAGGAGGACGGGAGGGGGACGAGGAGAAGGG